AATGACCTCCTTATTACTAAATCCAAAAACTTTTCAGTACTCTTCTTCTTTTCTTTTCTTTTCTTTTCTTTTCTTTTCTTTTCTTTTCTTTTCTTGAGACAGAGTCTTGCTCTGTTGCCCAGGCTGGAGTGCAGTTGTGTAATTTCAGCTCACCACAACCTTTGCCTCCTGGGTTCAAGAGATTCTTGTGTCTCAGCCTCCTGAATGGCTGGGACTACAGGTGTGTGCCACTACACCCGGCTAATTTTAGTAGCGACAGGATTTTGCCATATTGGCCAGGCTGGTCTGGAACTCCTAACCTCAGGTGATTCGCTCACCTCGGTCTCCCAAAGAGCTGGGATTACAGGCGTGAGCCTCCGCAGCTGGCCACAATCCTCTTTTTCTTGATCTCTCACTGGCATTTAATACTGCTGATATTTCCTCCCCTGGCTTCTCTGAAACTACTTGTTCCTGGTCCTCCTACCTCTTGGGATATTTTTCCCCTGTGTTTTTTCTTTCCTCACTTTTTAAATTCAGTGTTTTCACTGGGTTCCAAAGTAGATCCTCTTCTTTCCTTTCTCTACACCTTCTCTTGGAGATTTCATCTACTTCCATGAACTATTCCTTATTCTGATGACTCCAGCATAGATCTCTCTCCTAAGTTCTAGACTTCCCCGTTCAATTATGTAGTAGACAGCTTCACTTTGATATTCTATGGACACTTCAACTCAACATGTTGAAAACTAAACTAATTACCTTTACTCCACAACCTGCTTTTCCTCCTGAGGTCCCTATCTTGGACCTCAGGATATATCTGCAGGATATAATGGGAGCAGATTTATGGCTTATGAAAATGGAAGGATACCACTGATGGAGGATACCATCAATAATCAAATTCTGTTGGTACTATGTCCTTAATATATCTTGAACCCTTTCAATCCTTCCTTTCTCCATTTCCATTCTTGCTACCTTAGTTTGGACATCCATCATCATTTCGTTCTTATAATGTGATATGGTGTGGCTCTGTGTCCCATCTCAAACTGTAATCCCCACGTGCTGAGGGAGGGACCTGGTGGGAGGTGACTGGATCGTGGGGGAAGTTCCCCCCATGCTGTTCTCATGATAGTGAGGGAGTGCGCATGAGATCTGATGGTTTTAAAAGTGGCAGTTTCCCCTGCAAGCTCGCTCTCTCCTGCCGCCTTGTGAAGAAGGTGCCTGCTTCCCTTTCGCCTTCCACCATGACTGTAAGTTTCCCCCAGCCGGAGCACAGACGCATGATCTCCGCTCATTGCAACCTCCGCTTCTCCAGTTCAAGTGATCCTCCTGAGGAGCTGGGACTACAGGTGTGTGCCACCAGGCCTGGCTATTTTTTTGTGTGTGTTTGTGTTTTTGTAGAGACAGGGTTTCACCATGTTGCCCAGGCTGGTCTCCAACTATTGAGCTCAAGCAATCTGCCCACCTCAACCTCCCAAACTGCTGGAATTACAGTAGTGTGCCACTGCACCCAGCTGAGAGATCTTTCTAAAATGAACATTTGATCAGTTCACTATGCCCCTTAAAATTTATCAGTGGTTCTCCAACAGCCTTAGAATAAGTTCAGACTTTTTAGGATGACATACTCGACCATGCTAATCTTCCTAGATTTCTCCTTCAGGACTTCTGCCACAGATTTATACAATGTATTTATTTAGAACCTACTTGCCAGGCTCTGTTCTTCACCCTCAACTCTCTGGGCACAGCTTTTTCCCTAAGGTCTTTACACATACTACTTTCTTTGCTTGGAATATCTTTCTCTGTAACCTGCCCACTTGTCTGGCTTACTTCTACTTATCCTTCAGAACTCATCTCAATATTCACCTTGTGTGGTTAAAGACCCTATGCGTGGTCAGGGTTAGGCACCCTTATAAGCTCCCCTGTTGATATCACCTCACTGTTGCCTCATCAACTGCATATTCATCTTTGTTCTCGTGATACTATAATGCCCTTCGAAGCGGAAACTGTGTCTTATTCATCTTTGTATTCCCAGCACCCAGCACAATACCTGACACAGCGCAAGCACTCAATAATGAATAAAGTGGCAGAGTTAGGTTTCAAAGTCAGGTCTTTTCTCTCTGGCACAAATCTCACATTTCTTCATGCTACTTCTCAATACTGTGAATCTGAAAAATTCTAAGAGCTGAACAAGGTCTATTTTTGCCTAGCACTAATTAAAACACAGGCAAATAGATTATTATTAGTTCTGTGAGGATTCAGTTTATATTTCTGTATACGCCTTCCTCCATCATTCCACCACTTGGATCATCAGAGTACTTAGGATTACGTATATCTAAAATGACTGAAAGGCTAGGCATGGTTGAGTGCACCTGTAGCCGCAGTTACTCAGGAGGCTGAGGTGGGAGGCTTGCTTGAGCCCAGGAGTTGGAGGTCAGCCTGGGTAACACAGTGAGATATTGTTGTAATAAATAAATAAGTAGACTGAAAGAACTTTCTCTATACTTTTATATCCTTTTGTAACTCTTATCCTGCTGCTTCCATAATACCACTGAGGCAGGGAGAGAGTAAGTACATGGGGAGTAAGGTAAATTTTATTTTTCTGTCAACAGACACTAAAAATGGATACATCAATAGAAAATCATTTCCCATCATTTCCCTCAAGGTTCCTATGGATAGATACTAAAGGTTCAGTGCTAAAATTTAACATTGCAAAATCCAGCTAAAATTGAAATTTTTATGTAGTGAGTTCAATCTCATCACAGAAGTTTGTAAATGGGAGGAGCCTTAGAAATCCTTTAGTCCAGCACTTTCATTTAAGCTTCCACAAAGAAACTGACATAAGACCTATAATGGCTCACTCAAGGTCATCCAGGCTATTGATGCCATTATACATCTTTTTCAAAGGGCTTTATTTTCCATCTAAACAAATTGTCTACATCAGAATCCACCTATTTACATAGGGCTTATCTTTCTGATATTGCCTTTGCAATATCCTTGTTATAAAGAGGAAGGAACTGAAAACAAAACAAAACAAGGTTGTCTTGTCCAGGGACGTAGGGGAATTGGTAAAAGAGACAATTAGTACACAAAGTGATGGGGTTTCCTATTTGTAGTGCAGCCTTGTAATCACACTGTGTTCTCTGAATGCCACAATGCTAACCCAAGCTTACTTGTCCTTCCTGGGCCTGGATTCCATTCAATTCTATGACTTATTTAGTCTAAATGATTTCCCCAGCTTCAACGTGTATTTATTTATTTATTAATTTATGCGTTTCATTTTAGAAGTACACTTAAATCTACTCTTTACTCGAGTGTGTCTTAGTTCTAGTGCTGAGGAATGAAGATTTTGGGTAAAAGAAATCGAGATGATTTTTTTTTCTAGGCTTTACATTTCAAGGATGGTTTCTCAAATGGCAAATGGCAGTCTGCTCCTCAAATGATGACGTTTTCCATGGGAATTAGAATTTAATTGGAATAATTTGTTTTCAACGGGAAGCAAAGATTTCTTTCCAAGAGGATCAGTTTGATAATGTTTTACCAGCTAGTGCTACGAGACCAAATATAAACCAGTTCTGAGAAACAGGAAGTGAACTGACTGGTCTAGTCTGAGTGTCCCTGGCAGTGACGCAAATACAGAAATCAAATTAGGAAAACAAGATATGTGGGTGTGAGGCAATCGATAATCCAGGATGCTACAACATAAGCAAGAACGTCTTTAACCCGATGCCGTTCATTTTAATAACACCCTGAGCAGTTTGATTTCCATGGAACACGCTGGTGATTAGAGAGCAGCAGGAGCTTGGGTTCCCTAGCAACAGCATGTGCTTTTGAGACAGTCATTAGCCTTTCAGTTAATCCCATCAACCCCTTACCTCTAAATGTATGACTGACATTAAAAAAATGATGTTTTAGAAAGTGCTTTGAAATTTCCAAGAGTGCAATGGAAGGGAATAATCATAATTAAAAAGTTGTCTGGAGCACTACAGTCCAGTGAAGGAAGTAATGTTCCTACATGCCCAGCCTGTCCGTAAACTTCCCTGCTCTCAGTTGTAGGTTCTGAATTCCCGTGGCAAAGGGCAAGGGAGGTGAAATTGTTCAGAGTTTCAGGCAGTCTTCTCACCCAACGTGAGTAGTATTGCAATGGCTGTTGGAATCATGGCTCTGAAGATGAGGAGAGGAGCGGGGTGGGCAGTTTGTGTGGTGAGGAGTCTGGCCGCAGGTAGGCTGGGAGGGAATGTCACACATAGTTTTCTTTCTCCTTTAAGCCGAATGAGGTACTCTGGTCAAAGGAACTTGGGGAAGGAGGATGGTGAGGGGAATGAAGTTCTTCTTCCTATTGATTATTTTATTGCACCAGAGGCTGTTTGTCCAAGGCCACTGGCCAAGAGCATTATTTTCGTGGCTAAAGTGAGGTTGGGCAGGTTTCCCATCCCTTTCGCTAGTTTTAAACAAGACAACCCAGAAAGCGCAGCAAGGCTCTGGGAATACGATGTGGGTTGGCTTTTCCTACTCAACTGCACCTTAAAGCGCCAGGCCATTGGGCTTGATACTTCTCAAACCCTGAATCATTGCCTCCAGCTCTGCCCTGGGTTCAGGATGCACCACTCCACCCTCTGTGTAGCTTGGGTCAACTTCGGGGCGTCACTCGAATAGTAATTATTGCTGCGTTTGGCTGGACATCCTTATTACGGCCTGGGTGCCTCTCAGCTGGACACCGGGCTCCTTAGTTTGGCTGGGATGACTCCAGTACTTCCCGCCGCCCCACCTTACCCCCCTACGCGCTCCCTTCCCAAGGCGACCACCTGCACCGCCCCACTTACCATCTGCCCCGCGGGGAGGGCCCCCCCGGGCTAGCGGAGCCCTCCCTGCTCCCGGGCGGCTTTGGAGGAGCTCGGTGTTTGCCTCCAGCCCTTCGCTACCGGAGGATCAGGTTCCTCCCCTCCTCCCCCTCCAGCTCCGGCCGCCGCCGCCTCCTTCTTGCATGACACAGCAGAACCGCAGCTGCTGCAGCAATTCCAAGCCATCCGCCCAGGAAGCGCCGCAACCGGGACTCGGGAGGGGTGGAGGGGGCGAGGCAGGGGCCACGGCCCCGGGGGATCCTCGGCCCCACTGTGCACCACACACTCCTTTCCCAGTCCAGGGGCACGCGAACAAAATGAGGCTCAAGCTGACCAGGCCGAGCTGGAGGAACGCTGGGGCTTGGCAGCAGAAGGGATGGGACCACAGAGAAGGGTGTGGAGGAGACCCCAGTGAGGGCCGGGACATTTCAGGTAAAGAGAGGTAAGAAGAGGCCCAGACGTCAAGGGCCAGACTGTGAAGGTGATTAGAGGTCAAAGAGAGGTAAGGAGGTAGAGTTGCAGAGAAGAGAGGCCGAGCTGGGAAGGGCGTGGGGTTGGGGGCAGCTGCAGGGGAGGATGGGGGGTACAGTCTTTGGGGAGGCCTGAGCTGAGCGCCCAGACAGAAAAGGGGCTGAGTTGGGAGGCAAGGACTGTAGGAGGAAAGGGATGAAAGAATTAGGCATGAGATAGGAAGGTAAAACTTGGGAGAGATATTATAGAATTAGAAGGGTTGGAATGGAGCTCATTCATCATGGCTGATGAGGTAAACTGATGAGGTGGAGAGAGAGTGTCAAGGTAAGGCCAAAAGAAAAGATCTTCCATCCCACTCTTCAGTTTCTTGAGAAGTTTTTTCTTGATTCCGCCAATCCAAACAGTTTCCCTTATAAAATGGAAACGCATGAACTAAAAAACCCAGAAATAGCTATCTGGCTTAGATTTACAGGATAAAATCTCCGTGTCTGTAAAAACTTTAAGGCAGAAATTTGGGATTTATGGTACAAACCCTTAAAGGGACTGTGAGTCAGTAATACCCACAGCACTCAACATTGTGAGTTTCCACACATCCCTGGACTTGAGTAAGTCTTTCCAAGTGTTTGTTAATGCTAGAAATGATGAAAAAATTAGTGGCTCAAAAATATTAAAGTGCACATGCTTTTTGCTTTCTCTCTGTATACACAGATACATATATGTATACTTTCTAGCGACTAGCAAGTATGGTATGACTAGGGATAATTATGTTTTTCTGATTATTTTGTTTCCCATCAAACACCCCACGAATTTTACAGCAGACCGCCTTCTTGTCACCATTTGAAAGAATGTGGTCAGAAAAGTAATGCAAAAACTGCCACTTTGGTTTTGTCTGTACCTTCCAGGTCATATCTCCGTACCTCACTTCCTGACACAAACAAGTTTTCACTGTTGTCAGCAACAAAGCCCTAATATAGCTGCGGAAGAGAAAAACTGCATTGCATTTTGCCTCCTGCAAGCATCATCAACAGTTACTGGAGGAATGTAATTCCAGAAAGCTTGAAAGCCGTGGTGATGGTAATTATGTATCAAATGCCTGGTTCTATTTCTGTTATTATTGTTTTGTCATTTCTGTTCTCCCAGCGATCTGACTGAACTTGCAGAGGGACAAATCCGGTTTTTCTTTTTGACTTTTGTCAAACTGAATCAGGCCTGATAGAAAACTCATTGCTCTCCGAGGAAACAAAGTAGGAGCCACGAAATGTCATTTTAACAGAGCGTGGGTTTGGTGACTGTAGGAAAGGATTTGAGGACGCTCCTTCTGTTCGGCTTCCTATGTCATGAGCACAGACTCCACGCACGCACAGACACCACGGCTCCCGGATGCTGTGGCTCCCCGATCTGGGCTCCTGCAGCGCCAGAAGCCCCTCCGGGATGCTGCGAGGGGCTCCCGGTGGGTGGAGGTACGGACGCCGCTGCGGCCGCCGCCGCCAGTCCTGCTGCTGTTGTTGCTGCTGCAGTCACGTGGGAGCCCCTTTAAGTTTCCATAGAGAGGCCTCTCTGGTGTCACATGATGGACATGATATAATGAAACAACATTGTGGAGAGGAAAGCATTAGGGGAGCCCACGGCTACAAAAACAAGTGAGTGAGAAGAGGTGGGAGGAAGAGAAACTACGCCACCTCCCCTGCAGCCGAGCGCACGCAGCAGCCTGGCGTGACAAGTGGGCGACGCCGGGGGGCAGGGAGCCGGGGTCCTCGGCCCTGGCCGGGGACCCCACCGCCCACCGCGCGGAGAACAACTTTTAGCCGGCAGCCCAGGCCAGCGCGGCACCTGTCTCCTGAGTCTCCACCGCTCCTCCCCATCCATCCCAGGGAAATTCTCAAGAATACGCTCTACAAATCTACGTGCGCATCGTTTTCCCCTCTCGTCGCGCCCGGGAGGAAGGAACGAGGCAAGGAGCTAAGCAGCGTGCGTTCAGCCCTGGGGTAAGTTCTTCGGGTAGGGAAGCCGGTCCCGCAGGACTTTGGGATGGGAATTTTGCTCTCCTTTGCGATCTCAGGGCGTGAAGAAGGCGTCCCCTCCGCTCCTGGCGGGGCTGATCGGCTGGCTAGTCAATTTCCCCTTCGCACGCCCCGTGCGCCCACCCTCGCTCGGTCCGGGGCCCCCTCGCCGCCCCCCGGAAGGGGTCTGCGGTTCCTGACCAGGACCTTCGGAAGGCGAGCGGGGGAAGGTAGGGCTGTCGCGGGAACCCGGCTTGTGGGAGCGATTTCGCCATGTTTGTGTTGCTAAGAGCACTTTTTCCCCTTTGCTGTGGCTTGATGCCACATGGCTCCTCTGGAGCTGCCGCCGGGCTGAGAGTGTGTTTTTTTTTTTTTTTTTTTCAATGTCCGCATTCCAGCTAATGTTGCGCAGATAAAATTCAAACTTGAGGTAAACAGAAGAAGAGGAGGAGGAGGAGGAGGAGGAGGAGGAGGGGAGGGGGGAGGGAGGGGGAACTGTTTCCATTTCGAGATCCCACCTCTTCCCTCCGCGCAGCCCAACATCCCGAACCTAGAGACAACTCTCGCCTTTCTCCCACGTCCCCCACCTTTGCTGTCAACAAGAAATAAGGCCAGGGGGGTGGGGGTTGGAGTTGGGGGGTGGCATGCTTATTAATTAGAAAGGACACGGTGTCTCGGTTCTCTACTGGAATCAGCAACTCCCTGGAACTCGGGCCTCCGGCCCCGTCCCTCTTTTCTCCGGCAGGGACGCAGGATGCCTTGGTGCACTCTGGAGACGGGGACGGGAGGCTGCAGCGCGCCTGGGTGGGGCGAGGGGTGCCGGTCCCCTCACGCCCTCTGACTTTAGGATTTCAGACAGTGTCTCTTCAACCCCACCCCAGGCGCAGGTTTCCAGAAGGTGGGGTGGGTGGGGCCCCCTATTTCCAGAAGGCGAGTTACCTAGCAGGTGTGTGGGGTGGGCATTGCTATTCGGTAAGTCTGTTGCATGGGGTAGAATGACGTGGGAAGCTTAAAAGCTTTAAAGCCAGCCCAAGGGAAGAGCTGCGTCTGCTGTTTTTTGTTTGTTTGTTTGTTTTTTCCTGTGTGTGTGGCAAATTAGGGAGAAAAATCAAGACGTTCCCCCCAGTCCTCCCTCGGTGTAAACGTCTGCTCCAGCTCGCAGCCCGCTGCTGGGTGAGTGGCGACGATCAAGGCGAGGGTGAGCTTCGTCACGGGGAAAGCTGGAGGCTCCTGACAGCTAGTAGCCGTCCTCCCCGCGCCCCGCCCTAGGCGGAAGGTGTGGGTTGGGTGGTCCGAAGAGGGTGACGTCCGAGGTGGGGTGGGCACAGGCTCGGGATCCCTCGCAGAGCTAGGGGCCGCAGCCCCGGTCGCCGGGGAGTGCCGTGGCAGGGAGGCGGCGGCCACGTGAGGGGTCTGCGGAAGCGCCGGAGCTGAAAGCCGGGGGCGAAGTGCGTAGCAGAGTCGTGACGGGGGTGACACGCAGCAGCCGGGGGCGGCAGGCCGCCGGAGCCGGGCGCCTCCCACGCAGGGCCGGCGTTCCCCGCCGCGGGTGGGTGCGCACTAGCCGGCCCTCTCCCGGGAGACCGTTTCCGGGAGCGGGAGCGGGCGCGGGCGGGGCGGGGCCGGCGCGGTAAACAGGGTGGCGCTCTCTGCCCTCCCGCCCCCGGCCTGCCGGGGCGCGCGGCCGGCGGCGGCCAGGGTGGCGGAGGCGCGGTCGCGGCGCCGGGCAGCGGGGGCGCGCCCGCTCTCCGCCGCCCCCGCGCGCGCCCGCCGCCGCCCGGCCGGCCTCTTCTGTTTTTGTTTTGATGGAACCCGCGTGCAGCTGGCGCGTGTCGAGTCACGTGCCAGGGGCGGGAGGGGGCCGGGGCGCGGGAGGCGAGGGCTCGGTGACGGGGGCCGGAGGGGCCGGCGCCCGAGGGGGCTGCAGAGGGCGCGCGAGGGGGCGTGTGACCCCCGATGGAGCCGTGTCTTGCGGGTAGCCCGGCGCTGGGTAAGGGGTTTGGCGCTTCTCGGCGAGCAGTGCTAGGTTCATCGTCGCAGCGCTTCAGGGAGCCTCGTCCAGGCGGGAGGGCCTACCTGCGCTGCTGGACTCAAAACTCGGATCTTACAGGTGGTGTGTACATCCCTGTGGACGTGTAGACACTTCTGTGTGCTCCTGAAGGCCGGCCTCACGTTATAACCAACTGGAGTGCTTTAAAAAGAGTTCTAACGCCCAACCCAATCCCAGACCAATTGGACCCACATCCAAATAGGGCCTGGACGGTGTTTTCCCCCACTTCCCCCTAAGTGATTTTGGTGCAGAGTGCGAATTTATAGAAGTAACCAGCTTGATGGAATAGCTACTTGTGAAACATACCTATTTAGGGACAAAATAGTAAGAACAGCTAAAATAGCTAACACATATTGATCTGTCACTCAGTGGGGTCTCTGTGTGTCAGATACTGCGGCTCCCCATACATGGATCTACTCGTAAAAGTACTGTTACCCCTATTTTACAGTTGGAGGAGTGGAAGCTCGGAGTTAAATCAGGGAGGACGACTGTACCTAGGACCTAGAGAGGTCGAGTTCAGAACCCTTACTTTCAACAACCACGTATGCCTCGTGGAAAATGTCCCTTTGCCTAAGGGCCCTATGTTTGTGTGAATAGTAGTAGTTATGTTCGCCTAAGGGCCAGCTTGTTTATGTGGGTACATTTCTACTGTTAAGATTTTTGTTTGAAAAGCTTTGCTTGTATAAGGGAGGAAAATCATTTGGTGATTCTTTAAGGCCTGTAGGCGACTTTTTCCAGAAGTTTATTGTGGATCAAGGAGAGAGGGGATCTCCGTAATTTGAAGTGAGTAGGTTCTCTGGAAGTTTCTTGTTCTGTTTTTGAGACTTGAGCATTTGTATAATATGAAGAGGAGAGTCCGGAAGAGGCAAATATTTTCCAAGTATTTGCATGAGCAACCACAAGAGTGCTTTAGGTTGCTGGATGCGATACAGTTGTGGTGTGGTCACAGCTGGATGTACCCAGAGGTGCAGTGTGGTACAGAGTAGCAGAAGTTCTGCCATTAGCATTTTGGATTAAAAAAAAAAAAAAAAAAACTGGTCTGGAGTACAGAAACTTTGCTGTTACATCTCCTTTCTTCTCTTAATTTGTTTCATTTGTCTCCTGGTCGGATAAACTGTTGGTGGGACGTTTAGATGTGGGAGTAGTCTATTTCATTAGTGTTTTCTGTACAGAGATTCCAAAGAAAACTCATAGTAAACAGAGGTTTCTCCCTGAAAACAAATGATACTAGCTACAGTGTATTTGTGACCAATATGTTTTAAGAGTACCGTGTCACAAAGAACTTTATATTCCTGTTGATTGCTGTCAAATATTGTTAACCTCTATGGCAGGCATGGGTATATTATTTAGCAAATTTTAGGGATTGGTTTTCGTATTACTTGCAGTTTTGGTGAGGAAGGCTTATAGACCTACTCAGGCAGACATGACTGGAACGTGAGTATCTGTGGTCTGGTGTGGAAATAGCTCTGTAGCCCGATCTCCCTCCTCCCATTGTCCACCCCCATCCTCCTTACCATGAAACACATTTTTCACCAGCATTGCCAAACCACTTGGGGTTCCTGTGCACGGCTCTGCTTTGTTTGCTCTTCTGCTTCTTGGATTCCTCCTTCAGGAGATGTTCCCTGATTTCTCCTCAGAAACCATTGAAAAAATACCCTCCCTGCGTCATCTCTGCATTGTATATATGCTTGTTTTATTGCGTTATATCACAGCATATCTCATTGTATTTGTTACATATTGAACACCACTACTAAATTCGGCCCTTCAAAGGTGGGAATGGTGACTTGTTTATCTGCACATCACTGGCACACAGTGAGCACTTAAGTTTATTGCATTGGTCGCAATTAAATTTACTTCCATTTAAGTTGCATTATCTGTGTCGGTGTTTTCCTGAACCACTCATCTTCATTCTGAACTGTCCTCACCTCCTTCTCTGCTACTAGCTACCAGGCTAAAAACACAGCTGAAAGCACCCCAAGACAAAACTTACACAGAAAGTACACAATACTAGTAACACATTATCAAAGATATAGGAAGGGGCAAAATATCAGTTTTTCACTTGTTTGTGAATTTCGTCCTTCACAAACAAAGGAATTTGTGAATTCCTTTGGCCGATTGGACGGTGTGAATTTTCTTGATTACTAATATATGCTGGAAGAGATGCCCAAGGTTGTTTTTACTTTTCGACTTATTTGGGAAGGAAGTACTACGTTACCAGTGGACATGCTTTGATGTGCCATAACAGAGCACAGGTGTCTCATCACATTTCATTGCTGTAATTTTCAGATTGAGTATTACAGAGGTATTTGTAGAGCAGCACTGTCCCATAGAGCTTTTGGAGAGGATGGAAATGATTTATAAATCTGTGTTATCCAGTGTGGTAGCCACTAGCCACTTGTGGCTGTTGAGCACATTAAGTGTGACTGACGAACTGAATTTCTTTTCTTTCTTTCTTTCTTTTTCTTTCTTTTTTTTTTTTTGAGACAGGGCGTTGTTCTGTCGCCAAGGCTGGAATGCAGTGGTGCGATCTTGGCCCACTGCAACCTCTGCTTCCCAGCCTGAAGCGATCCTCCCACTGCAGCCCTCCCAAGTAGCTGGGATTACAGGGACCTGCCACCATGCCTGGCTAATTTCTGTGTTTTTAGTGGAGACGGGGTTTTGCCATGTTGCCCAGGCTGGTTCTGAACTCAAGCAATCTGCCTGCCTCCCAAAGTGCTGGGATTACAGGTGTGAGCCACTGTGCCTGGCCAGAATTGAATTTCTAATTGATAAATGTAAATAGCTGCTAGTGGCTACTGTATTGGGTGGCACAGTTACAGAAGATATGTCTGTGTTTAAATCCTGTAATTGACAGGTCATCATTTAGGCTAAGGTATTCTGCCTTTAAAAGTCTGCAGTCATCTTCTAGGTCTTAACACTATGCTTCCCGTTCATA